AACACGCACACACACACACACACACACACACACACAGAGAGAGAGAGAGAGAGAGAGAGAGAGAGAGAGAGAGAGAGGGACAAAGACAGACAAGCAAGTGAGTTTAACCATGCATTGTGGGCTTGTTAAAAAAGGCTTATCTTGTAGTACAAATATTTGACTGAAATGAAATGCTCGGAGCCTTGATAGCATGCTTTTTATCCCATTTTACAGAATAAAAAGCATGCTTTGAGATAAATGAATAGTGAAATGCTGATGGACAACCATGAGCCATCAAAACAAGCTTTAATTTAAACGATATTCCATTTCAAAAGTCACATCATGACCAACAACAACAATATATATAGAGAGGGAGAAGGAGAGAGAGAGAGAGAGAAGAATGTGTCACAACAGTTAAGGAATACTGACTTATTGAACTACATACCATAGTCTGCAGCTAACCAGCATAATCTCTTGACCCTAATTTAGACCACTGTTTAAGTTAAGTAGGGTTGCCCTCTTGAACAAGCCCGGGTGGCTTCCTCTCTAAACACACGTCAGCCTTCTTATCCGACATGAATGACAGGAGCCGTAGTGGCCTGCTTCACACACACACACACACACACACACACACAGAGAGAGAGAGAGAGAGAGAGAGAGAGAGAGAGAGAGAGAGGGACAAAGACAGACAAGCAAGTGAGTTTAACCATGCATTGTGGGCTTGTTAAAAAAGGCTTATCTTGTAGTACAAATATTTGACTGAAATGAAATGCTTGGAGCCTTGATAGCATGCTTTTTATCCCATTTTACAGAATAAAAAGCATGCTTTGAGATAAATGAATAGTGAAATGCTGATGGACAACCATGAGCCATCCAAACAAGCTTTAATTTAAACGATATTCCATTTCAAAAGGCACATCATGACCAACAACAACAATATATATAGAGAGGGAGAAGGAGAGAGAGAGAGAGAGAAGAATGTGTCACAACAGCTAAGGAATACTGACTTATTGAACTACATACCATAGTCTGCAGCTAACCAGCATAATCTCTTGACCCTAATTTAGACCACTGTTTAAGTTAAGTAGGGTTGCCCTCTTGAACAAGCCCGGGTGGCTTCCTCTCTAAACACACGTCAGCCTTCTTATCCGACATGAATGACAGGAGCCGTAGTGGCCTGCTTGTTCTCAGGAACAACAATGGTCCTCAGGAAGCACTTCTCACTGGCTGTCCATCAAAACTCAACAAAGTCTTTACTGTTCTTGACCCGCAGAGACTTTCCCTCCTCCCTCTCTGTGTTTCTGAAATTCCCCTGAGGCTACACAGCTTTACTGAATTCCTCCACTCACTCTCTGCTTCTCTGCCTCCGTAGGTGCAGGGCAAGCATCACTCACATGGCTATAAGGATGCGGGTGTCGGGATCGAGGATTAAGCTGTGGTGTCCGCTTATCTCGCTTGCACTGATTCAGTTTCTCACCCCTGTTTCGGCTCAAGGTAATTGCTGTCTTCATGGTTCTGAATTGGTATTTGCTCTGGTTTATTGGCTTTTGTGTGGCTGCGTAAAATATGAAATGTTGTCCTAATCATTTAATGCATAATTTAGTCACAATGGCCAGGTTACATTTGAATTTGACACCTTCATGCACCTTCACGTCTCCTAAGGGGACTCATTTTAGTGTAACGTCTCTCAGTAAGAAAGTAAAAAGAGCTAAAGTGAGTCTTGAGGATTTTAGATGGGATAGAGATGTGAAAAAGCATTTAGTCTATAACATCACAGGGGACCACAATGATAATATCCCTCAAGGCAGCTTAAAGGCTTAATTGGTTGCTCTGCTTGGAAGGAGTTTCACATTCCTCTCAGGCCCTGGAGTGAAAGGTGGAGCCTGGATCATCATCTGGAGTGGGAGGTTCTGTTCGGAAGATAAAGTTTGGATTACTCTTTGAATTTTTTGCCTTCACTCTTCTTTCCAGACCAGCACTTGTGTGATGGGCATGTGTAGTCTTTAAATGTATGCTGCCTAGACAGGTTCTTTTCATCCCTCAAATCACTGAAAGCTGTTGGTGTCATTTTAAACTGCTCAGTGGTGCAGCTGAATGGGAATAAACAAACCAAAGACTTTTAGTTGAAGGAATATTCTGGGTTTAATACAAGTTAAGATGAATCGACAGCACTTGCGGCATAATGTTGATTACCATGAAAATGAATTTTGTCTTGTTGCTGCTTTTAAAAAAGCAAAAATCTGGGTTGTAACGAGGCACTTACGATGGAAGTTGATGGGGCCAATACATAAACATTAAAATACACTGTAACAATTTAGTATAGGGACCAATTCTCACTATTAACTAGTTGCCTACTGGCATGCCTATTAGCATATTGGCTGTTTATTAGTACTTATAAAACATATTCTGCATGACCATATTCTACATTCCTAATCCAACCCAATACCTAAACATAACAACTCCCTTACAAACTATTAATGAGTGGCAAATTAGGAGTTTATTTAGGCAAAAGTCGTAGTTAAATGGTTTGTTAATGGTGAGAATTGGACCTTAAAATAAAGCAGAGTAGGTTGGAGTAGTTTTAAATTTTTTTTAAGTAGGTTTAAGCGTGATTTGTAAACTAATACATTTTGATGTTTGAATCACATAACTAGCTGACATGACATGATTGCTTCAGCAAATTTGTTTTATCTCGTGTTTGAAATTGGTTGGGTTTAGTGTAGGGTTTCATGTAGGTGGCATGCTATTTTCAAAAGTCATAGAGCATTAACCTGTTAGTGCCACTCACCAGATATTTAATTTCCGAACTTCTGCGATACATAAAATGACCACTTTTATGTTCATCTGTTCTGGAGAAAACTGAATGTGGCTTTTAGTGCACATTTAGGACATTTCAATTTGAAAATGTGCAAAGCATGCCAAAAATTATAAGCCTTAAATATCTGCTTTTATATCCTCCAAAAATTAGCCCCAAGTTCCTTGCCATTACTTCACTTTGTGCAGACAAAGGACGAGTTGAAATTACTATTTGTTGTAATTAACACTATGCCACAAATGTTATCAATTGAGCTTAACTTACTGTAGCTTTTGAACCTGTCATATTCCTATAGAAAATATGTAAAACACATTGCACTGTGTTTGTGGGTACTTGATGCGTTGGAGCAAAAATGATTGCAAATGCTGACAATGCCCTGCTGAGAATGAATGGGTAGAAGCAGGGAGTGATACAAAGCGGTATGATGAGACATTATGAATGCGTTTTGGAAGGGGCTGTATTGTGTGCGTGATGAAGTTGTGGAAAAATGAAACAAAAGAACTGAAGGTCGACTTTAAACAGTCTGTCTGACATCTTGTTAAAAGCAGTCACACGCACAAAATAATTCACATTCACAGTTTTAACATAATTGTTGTTTGGATTTACACAGGCAGTGCATCTCATTACAAAACCTTTAACTAAGCAATTTGTCTAGCTAATGTGTTTTTACACATTGGCAAGATGAGAAATGTAGCCAAGTCTCCCAGATTTTCATTTGGTCCTGCATAATTCCTGCTTCTCAGATCTGTGTAAATTTACATCACATCCAACAGACTTAGGCTACGTCCACACGAAGCCAGAGCTTTCCCTATCCAATCTTTTTCCCCCCTCGTCTCAAGAAATATCTGCGTCCACACGAAACCACAAAACCGACACAAAACGAATAGTAGTGTTGGGTCGTTCTTGAACGATTCGTTCGTTTTGAACGAATCTTTAATGTGACTCGGGAAGAACGAGTCGTCTCGGGGAGTGATTCGTTCAGTCGAGCATGCGCAACATCCTATAGGTTCTGTACTGGAGTTAGTCAAGTAGTTCACCTGGTTCGAGTCTTCGGGTTTTTCCGAGTCATTAATTCATCACGTGACAGCCCCATAAATTTAACCTATGCAGTCTGAGCCGGAAAGAGAATTGATTAGTTAATCTCTTGAGTCTTCGGGTTTTTCGAGTCGTTCATTCATCACGTGACAGCCCCATAAGCCCAAACCCGAAGACTTGTCAGATAAGAGGTGGTGAGCTAATCATAGACTGAAGACCCAGGTAAACAATTAATTAATCTTTTCTGTTTCTTATAGCAGTTTTGTATTGTTTGTAGTGTGATCAACGTTTGCGTAAGTAGTAGACATATTAGGGAAGTAACACGTAACATTTTAATTATATTTTGCTAAAATGAACGAAATGAACGAAATGACTCGAATAAAGATTCGTTCATTTTGCTGAACGAGACTCAAAGGTCCGAGTCGGTAAAATGATCCGAACTTCCCATCACTATGTAGTATACATGCCAGACCAGTATGTGGCGCTGTAATTCTGCCACAGAGATACACTAAAAAACGGAGAAGAAGGCTTGGACTATGCGCATAAACCTTGCACACACAAACGAACATGGAACAATACATTTATTAATCTACTGTATGTTAATGTTAGTTAATAAAAAGACAATCGTTCAGTGTTTGTTCATGTTTTTGTTGCTGTTACGTGACGTAGCAGTGTCTGACTAGGGGCGAGACGTGGGCTGATGACGTCATCGTTTCAGAAAATATACGGATTCGCTGTCCACATGAAAACGCAAGGGCGGCGTTTTCAGATTTATCCATTCTGGGGGCCCGTTCTTCGTACGTCGCTAACTCAGTTAGCTGGATTTGATTGTTGACGATTTGGCATGATCCTGGATTATTTGGTTCTTCGAAGCTCATCCCAGAGTTGCTGTCATAGCAACAGGTCCTTAAGTTTAAACCTGATCGGGAGCTGGCTTATCTCATGTAAACAGGATTAGATTGCATCTTTTTAAGCAGAATTGATACTTAAAATCTGTCCGCTACCACTACTACTTTATTACAAGAGTACCCTACTAATTCAGGGACAATAATTTAAAATAATAATAAAAAAATAATAATTTAAAGATAATATGACAATGTTGTGCAGTCTTTAATACTATAGACAGTTTTACTCACTGAAATATTTATTCGTCATAAAATTATTACTTCATAATTGTATTCGAGTCTTACACACATGCTATACAGATAATGTCGAGTCGTGCATGAATTTGAGTGCTGACAGATATTATGGGAGTGGCTTGATGGAGTGCAGGAGATGCAGATAACATGATCTTGACCCTTAAGAAACTTTAAATAATGCTGTTCCGTAACAGATCTGTTCAAATATAAAATTAAATGAATTGCTAATTACTACATTGAAATAAAAATGGAAAGCCTGTACAAAAATTAGAAATTGGGAATATAAATAATTGGGAATGTAGCAAATCAGCTGATGGGGAAATATGAATAATTAATCATAACTAGTTATAATTAATTATAAATATTTAGATCCGCTGTAGATATTTACTTGACCACTCAGGGTCAACTGTCTGTCAATTCTAAGAACGTTAATTTCCTGGTTAAGGGAAATTACTTTCTTACTGTACAATTCTACACAAAGCTTGTAGCATAAATCTGCATGATTAAGTGACTCCAGTTATGAGCAAACAATGAACAACGTCAAGTGTGATACAAGTAAGACTTTATTAACTACATAAACACTTAAACTAGTCTAACATACTACATAAACACACACACGCATACAGTTGGTATAGGAAAGGGTTAAAGCTTAACTCAGTAAAGAGGAGAGAAAATAAGAATATGAAGTTATGGAACCATTTGCATATTCAGCAGATCTACCACCTGAAGGAAACATCAGATTCTTAGTTCAAACACACCTTTGTAAAAAGGTGCAAATGATACCTAATGTATCAATTAATAAGACTA